CGCTGATGGCTGTTTTCAGGCTGCCAAGCCCCCCAGCGGGGACCCTCACCCCATGAGGGTGTGGCCAGCCTGGGTGAGGGGCTGATGGCTGTTTGCAGGCTGGCCACGTCCCCCAGCCACCCAAGTTCCCAGTGGAGGCTGGCTGGAAGCAGGTGTCTGGGATTTATTTATCTTCTATAATTGAAACTTTGTTGCCTTTAGCGGAGGCCACAGCTGGCCAGGGCAGGCAGGAAGCTTGGCTTCCTCCATCGCCGGGGCAACCAAGCCTCCTGCTTGGTCCAGCTCCGTGGCTGCCGGCCGCCATCTTGGTTGGGTTAATTTGCTCTGATTGGCTGGTGGGCGTGGCTTGGGACATAGCAAAGGTACAGTCAATTTGCATGTTTCTCTTTTATTAGATTAGATAGCCTTACAGTTCCTAAAGCTGTAAGAGGTCAAGATGATACTGCAGAGAGTGTCATCACTAAGAGTCACACCTGGATTCTGCCCCATGCTGCCACCAACCAGCTATGGGAATTTGAAGAGGTCATGAAAACTTTATTTAACCTCTAAAACTTAAGAGATTTTGTTGGTTTGTTTGATTTTTGTTTTTTAATGGGATAATAATAATTTGTTTCTACCTAGAAGGGGACCAAATGAAGTAATGGATTGAAAACATTCCTTAAGTTGTTAAGTACTAAAATATAAAGTTAACAAAATAATACATCTTCTCTTAGCTCATCTGACCCAAATAAGAGTATACATTGAAATAACCCCACTTTTTTTTGCTACAAAGATCCCATGTAGTAAACTATCTATATTGATGCCAATCGATCATATTTTACCAGCCTGAATATCAACATTTTAAACAGTACAAACATTCACCGCTTCTTATTCTACACAGCTTTAAAAATGCTTATATTTACTGAGAAACCAACTTTCTGAATCAGGAACAGAGTAAAGAATTCTAGAAAATAAGCTAAGAATTTGAGAATATGAAAACTCAATAATCCATGATTCTAATGCTCATATATATTTTTTTTAAGTATATTTTTATTGATTTCAGAGAGGAAAGGAGAGGGAGAGATAGAAACATCAATGATGAGAGGGACTCATTGATCAGCTGCCTCCTGCATGCCCCCTACTGGGGATCAAGCCCACAACCTGGGCATGTGCCTTTGACTGGAATCAAACCTGGGACCCTTCAGTCCGCAGGCTGACGCTCTATCCACTGAGCCAAACTGGCGAGGGCTAATGCTCATATATCTTGATCTACAATTTCAAGTAGTGGTTTCATACTTAAAAAAGTCATCAGTGGGGTATCCAAGTGTAAGATGATCACTACAGAAATCAATGTAAAAATGCCATTTATGTGTTTTAAGTACAGAACTTTAAAACTATCCAGTGAAATATAAACAAGCTTTATTTCTGTAACACTTTCTATCTATACTCAAAAATGCATTTTTCTATTGTTGCTGTATGTACATACTAGTATGCCTACATCTGGAAGGAGGCCACAGGGTGAACATTGGAAAACAGCTTAACTGGGCCAAATAAATACCATAAACTCACTTATTTCTTTAAAGAACTCTTTTTCCCCCCAATATCAAATTGTTTATTTCTGAGAAAAAAATCCCACTATTCTGCAAAAAGAAAATCTCTCTTCCTTTCACTGATTGGAGCTTTTCTTTCCTCTACCAGATCAGAGTAGAGCATATACATTGAAGTGGTTCTCCCCCAAACAATCATCTTTTACCTTTGGTTATACAACAAATGGATGCACACCACTCACCTAGAAGGGGAAAAGCAACCTCTGTCCCCTCATCACTGCATTCTGAAAAGGATAAGTATGGGAAGAAATCATAGGTCTTTTCATCTATTTATGATAATCTAGTCTATACCGAGGTCAATACTGATTCCCTAACATACTGCCCTCTGCTTTATTTAGCTTTCTGCTAAATATCTCTGAAGTAAATGCTAGATGGCTTTCCATAATCTTTAAATGGATTTTCCATTTGGCAATTTTAACCCATTAGTCTTAATATCTTCTAAAATGATGCCAAAGAATTCCCTTTCTGCTTCAGTATTTACATCCTTCAAATATTTTTAACTTTATGTTCTCTTTTAATCACTGCTAAGGAATACTTAAGACAGGTGTTCTTTACATAGTGCCTCATAAGTCCTCTCTCCTAACCCTGAATTATTCACATTACTACTCTCTGAACTATTTCAAATCTCAAGGTAATGAAGTGTCCAAAACAGAAAGCAGTATTCCAGGTGTGGTTTCACCAGCATCTGAAAGAATCTATTATCCTTCCTGCTCCATTCTCTATATACAACATCCAAAAATCTCATTAGTATTTTGCTTCCAGGCTGTATTTTAAACAAATACCTAATTCACTTTCCACCAGAACTCATAAGTATTTATAATAACTTTAAAATTTCCACATTTTTTTCCTTTACATTAAAAAAGGGTTGGATTTTCTACCTTCTTTCTCCCTTGATCCATCTCTCCCCCTCCTCCAAAATTAAAAAGTTCGGATGCATAAAAATGTTTATCTCTAGATAAAAAAATATTTACCTCTCTCTAAAAGTGTTACCCTATAGTCACAGATATTATTTATGGCCAACTTGCAGTTTTATATTACTTGCAAACTGTAGCAACCTATTACCCACCTCTCCCCAACCCCTAGTCATAAAAGAGTAATCCCAAGGACAAAGTGAATTTGCTCTCAGAGCAAACTGAAAAAGATCTGGAAATGTAAAAAATATATTCTCCCCCAAACAACCACCCTATGAAATGCAGAAAGGTAGCTTTCCTACCTTAATACTACTTTTTAAAAGGACACCTACCTGTAGTGATGTATTCAGCAACGAGTTCTGACTCTACTACAGCAATTGATGGACTCTCCGGAGAATGTCTCTTTTCCTGGGTCATCTGAATAGGCACTGCCATTTGACTCAAGTCAATAGTAGGTTGTCTTGGTTTAGATTCCAATTTTTCCTTTACTGCATAAAAAAGTCAGGGGAAAAGTTAACTTTATTACAAACAAGTACCCAAACCAGAGTTGTCCATGGGAATAACGAACCAGACCTCTGGGGTGCCACACTGGCAGTGACTAAGGAGACAATGAGTTCAAAAGGAAAAATCAGACTGCTATGCAAGGGTATAGAGTCCACAACTTGTGCAATCATACCCAAAAGCCTAGCAAAAAGGACTCATATGCAATCAGAGTAAAATCCCCCCCTAATATCATTAGGCCAGACAACTGGTTCTGTTTCCCTTATACACATTTCCCTTACAACATTTTCTTTACCCTTCTTCAAGGGAGTCCCTGGTATCCTTGAGTTCACCAACCTGAAAACAAAGGGTGAATAAGCAGTACATAGCATGATTTCCACTCAGGCACATCTACCCTGAATTATACAACTCAGTGATCAGTTTAATTTGTTCTATTAAAATTTTAAGGTAATCTCTAAAGAAATATTATAGTATTTTTAATGACTTTTAAAAAATAAAAATTTTCAACATTAGAAAAAATGGCTTCTGTGTTCCTGCAAAAAAAAATGTCTTCTAGAATAGTCTAGAATCAGGAATGGTTTCTGTGGACAGATTTATTTTTCTATCTTATCACTTTTCCACAGAATCTACTCATTCAGTTTCTACCTTCTTATAAGGCATTAATGAAAATGGCTGAGTATGTAAAAAACAAGGAGCTGAGGAAATGACTAAGGCTAAAAATAATATCAATATTTAAAAATGTTAACCAAAGACTTACATTAAATACTAGTATTCTTGGGGTAGTGTAGAGTGGATGTCACAACAAAGAGTAGTAACCAATAATCAAGTCCACTGAATGATCATTCAGATTATTCCCACAAAGCATATAATGTGACAAAATCAAGATAATCATTTAAACAAAGAAAGCAAAACAAAGCCAAAAGAATAGAGAAGTCGCTCTATAAGTAGAGAGGACATTGAACTAGGAATCAAGACATTGAATCTCACTCTGCCACTAACCTACTGGGTAACCTCTCTAGTTTCAGTTTACTTATCCATAAAATGAAAGGGTTGGATAAGATCATTGCTAAGGTCCCTTAAATACTCTGACAATCTTTGACCTATTATAATAGAGAGGTCAGTATTTATAACACAGGTTTTGCCTAGTTCGTTGAAGATATTTAGTAACTAGAAATACTGACAGAATCTTGTGAGGATAGCTTTGCATGGAAGTTCAAGTAAGTAAATTATATAAAGAAATATGAAGATAAAATTAAAACAAATCAGAATGCTAGAAAGGGCCATTAATGGTGTTTTATGAACATAAAACTGTCCCACCAATATCAAGGAGGATGACGGGCCCTTCAATCTGCCTCCTACTATTTTTGAATAGAGCTGGTGTACTGTATCTATCTTTCCACTTAGAAGTAACAGACCTACTCCTTTCTGGTAACAAGAGCAACAGGATTGTCCAGTTAAGTCAGGAGACAGAGAAGAAAGCTCTGCCATTTTTTTCTACCTTTCTACTGACTATATTTATCCTTCAGTACTCCTGTGCACATCTTAATGAACTGACAAGTAAGAAGACTGCACCAATGATTATAGACAAGTCCAGAGGGGGGAAATGTGCTCAAATAACAAAGAAAATAGAACAGTGGTAGTATTTTAGCACAACCCATCTCTAGAGAAAACATGCTTCATTCAATTGAGCATGTGAGTTCATACCTGTTGTCTGTTGGAGTTCTAACAGAGCTTTGATTGTTGAAGTAGCTGATTGTGATTCACTGGATACATCCTGATAAATTATGGTGGGGCTAGTCTCCATTGCAATCTCATGTTCTGACCAATCCTGACGCCGGGAAGCAATTACATGAACTACAGGCTGGGAATCTGTTTTATATTAGTTAAAAAAAAACAAACCCTATAAACAAAGTTTCTCTTAAAAAAAAAAAAACAATTTGCTTTTTAAAAATCTTTGTATTTATTGTAAACTTCATGCTTTATCTCCCCAAGAAGACTTGTAAGCCCCCAGAGGGCAAATGTCTTTCATGTCTGTATTCACAGAATTATTCATTCAGTAACTGAACAAACTAGGCACCTATGTGCCAGAGTCTATATTTGGCATTGAGGATACAAAGGAGCTCACAGAATAATCAGAGGATTCTCAAGAAGCACACAATCTGGTTAGGGAGACAGACATGTAAAAAAGACAAGTTACAATTCAATGTGATAACTGCTATAATAAATAGGTGTGTACTTGTGTAAGTGGGTATATATTTGTGTAAGAACAAATGCTATAGGAGTCTTATTTTCCCAAATGCAGCTGAAAATGTACTCTGTATTACAACCTCAGCATTCAGTCAACACTTATTGAATGACTGATTTATTGAAAGGAAATCTTGTCCACTAACAACAGGACTGGATAGATAATCTAGAAGCAACCTGATATAATAGGACACATACAACATTTGAAATTCAAAGTCTTAGGTTACAGCCTCAGCTCTATCAATTATTAGCAAGTTGGTTCTTTGGGTCTTAGTATCATTATTTAATTATGGCAACAATAAAATCACCTCTCTACCTCACAGAATTTCTGAGGATCTGAGGATATAACAAAATCATATATGTAAAAGAGCTCTGTAAACTATGAAGGGCAATAGAAATATTGTTGTGGTAGTGGTGGCCTGAAAGTCCTCCATTCTAAGACTTTTTGTTAGTTTCAAATTAAATTACACCCTAATTCAAGGTTTATTATATTCATGCTATACTGGTATGCATGTAAATACTAAATGTGCATCAAATCGAGCAACAAACTATTTATGAGTTTTCTATCTACAAAATAAGCCGATTGGACTAGACTACTGTTAAGTTCCTAAACTCCTTTGTCCAAAACACCATACAGAAAATTATGCAAGATATATAAAGGCATGATCCCTACTCCCAAGTTTGGATTATATAATGAAAGAGACATAAAATAAAGATATACATATAGCTTTGTATTTTGGGGCAAAACCAAATGATTAGGGCAAATAAGATGAATACATAGAAAGAAAAAGTCTGCTTTGAATTGGAATGGTCAGTGAAAGCATCACAGAATAATAAAAAGAATCCATGTAGTCCCCCAAACAAGAATAAATGCAACATAAGTTTGACCTTCTATGAATATTATATTTTTGAAAACCACAAATTTGTCCCAAAAGGTTGGGGCAGGGGAAACAACTCTTAAAAAAAAGAGAGATAAAAATAAACCAATAGTCTTCTCAAAGAAAACAAAATCAGTTTACAATAAATCTGGAATTTTTAATTAACATTAATAAGTTATTATACACACACACACACACACACACACACACACACACCCAAATGGGTAGGACATAAGGCATATGAAGGATGTATAACTTCCATTAAACTTCCTCCAAAATCTAGAAAATTAAAGGAACTATCCCGGAATACCAAATGCTATGTGAAGCATATAACCATTTTTCTTTACTCATTCTAAGTAGATATATAGAACTTAAACTTAAGACAATTATATTAGGGAATCATTCTTTTTATATAACCTAAGTTCTCAAATTTAAAAAATTCCATTGATGATATAAGTACCCCTTGGTTGGATGAGAGGACCTATAGGCAAAGAATGACTTGGCAACTCCACTCCATATACATTGATTATCTAGAAGAAAGCAAGGACTTCATTTGTAGAGGGATATGGTAGAGACTAGAAAAGGAACACAAATTTCCACATGGGAACACCTATCAGGGAAATCATCACAAATAACATCATCCCATAGAGACTGGGGAGATTGCTCACTCTCTGTCCATACTCAGAAAGAGTAGCTGACCATCACAAAGTATTACCGAAATAACCCCAAATCTATGACAGAATGAGAGAGTGAACCTCGATGTGAAAACCATTTCTTGAGTGATTTTCCTCTCTACCTTTGGCTTATGTTTAGTCTGATAAATCTACTGCCTATCAAGTCTGATGCTGGAGTCAGAAAGTAATGACTGAGGTACCAGGAATCTGATTTCATAGTACCATTTGATTATGTGATGTGCATCCATCTTGTAGATTTTTTTGAAGGTTTAATGGAAATTATGCATCCCTGGTGTTGTACATATTCTACCCAGTATTGTTATTTTTTTTTTTTGAAGGAGTGTGGGGTGTAGGGGAGGAATACAGTTTTTAAATGGTAATTAAAAATTCCAGATCTATTATATGTTGATTTTGTTTTCTTTGGGAAGGCTATTTTTTTTAAATGACCCTATATCTCTTGAAGATGGTGGCCTGCTAACCCTCAGATATCTTTCCCGACAAATTACTTAGCAAGTATTTATTAAATACCTACCACATGTTTTGTACTAGAGATACACACTGTATCCAAAGGCAGACTCAGACATCTCTATGAAAGAATGTCTCTATGTCTTTACTATAAAATGCCTATATCACATTTTCATAATATCATAAGACCTGTCAGCCAGAAAAGATTTAAAAGTTCATTTAATGCTCTCAGCAATCCTATGCTATAATCTTCACAAAGTACCACCGCCAGTCCAGGAACTCCACCACCAGAGAACTCACTACTTTCTAAAACAGTTTCCTTCCCAACTCTGCACAATATAACAATTAGAAAATTTTCTTTAATGGAGTGGAAGCAGGTTTTTCTGTTACTTCTACCCAATGGTTCTAGTTTCCACCCATGTATCTACACAGACCAATTCTTTTTCCTCTTCCTCAAGATAACTGATGATATCTCCCATGCTCCCCCAACCCAACTCAATCTTCATCATCTCTTCTCCATGATAAATGGTCTGTCTTCACTAACATTCCTCATATAAAATGATTCCCAGATGCCTTACCCAACTAAACCATCTCTTCTAAACTAAACCCAAGATGTCTACATCCCTTTTACGATGTAACATGTACCTTCCCTCTGAAGTATTGTCATAAAGCCTAAGGCCTTCATAGTATTTAATTGTCTAGCCGGCATCACCCAAAATGTTCCAGAGAACATTAATTTCTCAAGATGTTCTACAAAAAAAGGGTCCCATGGTCAAAAAAGTTGGGGAGCATTTTACATTATATACTGCACTCCTCATATTAGCACGTAACAGCTCTGAAAAGTTATGCAATAAGTATGCTTTGCTTAACTTTGATTTATTCCTCACCTCCTTGGGGGTGGGAGATAATGGGAAAAGTTAGAAACTATAAGTAGAATCAAAAAATTCCCCTGGCATAAGAAATATCCTTATTTCCAGGACTTGTGTAAGACAAGTCATCAGAAAAACATCTGAAATCAAAAAAAGGTTGATTTATTTTTACAGTAGAATGCCAACTATCAAATATACAAATAATGAACTTTAGAAAATCATCAATGGATGCTAAAACTAGATAAATGTTTAACGAGGAACATGATATTTATATAGTTTCAAAGTATCTCCTCACAAATGGGGAAGATATCACCTCAGCCAATTGATCAACATTAAATTAACATCAATATAGGGACAAACTAACATCATGTGCCTACTAATGAGATAAAACTAAGGACACAATATCATATCTGTGGAATTCTTGCTGAATTTAATCAAGAGCAAACATCAGACAAAACAACAGAAGAATATTCTACAAAGTAACTGCTCTATACTCTTCAAAAATGTCAAGATCAAGAAACACAAAGAAAGGCTGAAGGATTAACTAAAGTTCAAGGAAAATGAAGAGCCATGATAATTAAATGCAACTAAATACAATGCAATCTTGAATTAGATTGTGGACTGAAGAAAAAAGTATAAAGAATATTATTAGACAATTGATGACATTTGAATGGATTATAGATTATAAAATCATAGCTTTAAATTTCTTGATTTTGATAACTGCATTTTAGTTATAAATAGACTAACCCTTAGGAAATATGAACCTACAAATGTAAGTATTTAGGGGTAAAGGACATGATATCTATAATTTGTTCTCAAATGGGGGGAGGGGGTGGAGGGGTTTAGTTAGAGAAGCAACATTAAAGCTAACAGGGCAAAATGTAAACTAGTGGTGAATCTAGAAAAAGAGTATACACAGGAGTTCTTTTTACTCTTCCTGCTACTTTCTCCTATCTTAAATTACATTAAAAAATGTTGCTATTTGCGGGGTGGGGAGGAGATGGCGCTAAAAACCACAAAAGCAATATAAAAGAAAAATGGACATCTAAGTAGTGCTTAGATTCCTAGCAGTTACAACACTCAAATATTCAAAACAGCACAATTTTAGACTGACTCAATCGTTTATCCTTTTCTCTTTATTTTTTATTTTTTTAAAAATATATTTTATTGATTTTTTACAGAGAGGAAGGAGAGGGATAGAGAGTTAGAAACATCAATGAGAGAGAAACATCGATCAGCTGCCTCCTGCACACCTCCCACTGGGGATGTGCCCGCAACCAAGGTACATGCCCTTGACCAGAATCGAACCTGGGACCTTTCAGTCCGAAGGCCGACGCTCTATCCACTGAGCCAAACCAGTTAGGGCTATCCCTTTCTCTTTAAATCACAGCATATATATTCCCAACACCTTGTCTTTGTGAGTATGTACTAAAGAGCTATACAAGGATATGGGAAGAAGGGTAAATGCAGATTATAAAAACTGGCTTCATATTCAATTACATTAGATACGCTTAGTCTGAACTATAAAATATGTCTGTATTACAGAATATTTTTAAAATACAAAATGAAAGAAAACTAATAAATAAAAACAGATGATGATGTTTATATTATAATAGATCAAAGAGCAGAAAAACCTTATACTCAATCACATCTAGAAATAGCCAAACTCTTGCACCATTCTTAGAATGACAACTGAAGACTCACTAATGAAGTGACATGTTTGGAAAGTACTGATTGATTTAGGGCTCCCTTAGGAAAAGAAGAACAATTTTAAAAGATCATCTGAGATTATCCTATATAATAAGGAGGTAATATGCAAATGGTCGTTATGCTGTGACATGTAACGACCAACAGCAGAAGGGCGGGGCAGCGAGCTATGAGCGGCAGAGAGCTACGAGAGGCAGTGGGCCAGGCGGCCAGCTGAGGCAAGCAGCAGCGAGCTACTTGCGCATGGATTTGTGCGCAGGGCTACTAGTATATATAATCTCAGATACAGATGCGCGTGCGTACACACACACACACACACACACACACACACACACAATCACAAAAAAAAAGAGCAGTGGTTCTCAACCTGTGGGTCGAGACCCCTTTGGCGATCGAACGACCCTTTCACAGGGGTCGCCTAAGACCATCCTGCATATCAGATATTTATATTACGATTCATAACAGTAGCAACATTACAGTTATGAAGTAGCAACGAAAAAAATTTTATGGTTGGGTCACAACATGAGGAACTGTATTTAAAGGGCCAGAAGGTTGAGAATCACTGCTCTAGAGACCCAGTGCACAAATTTGTGCACAGGTGGGGTCCCATTCCCACCCCCTACCCTCCCCCCTGGCCTGGCCAGCGATGGGGCCGACTGGGGCCAGCTCACCCAGTTCCCATCAGGGCCTGTGGGGGTTGGCCAGCTGGGGAGGGACCACAGGAGGTTGGCTGGCCGGGGAGGGACTGTGGGACGGCTCCAGGGCATGTCCAGCCCTCTTGTCCAGTCCCGATCGGCCAGACCCCAGCAGCAAGCTAACCTACCGGTTGGAGCGTCTGCCCCCTGGTGGTCAGTGCATGCCATAGCGACTGGTCGAGGTCGACCAATAGATCAGACACTTAGCATATTACACTTTTATTATATAGAATATATATATTCATGTCCCCCTTTTAGAACCAATGCATAAGCTAAATATTTTATGTATTTTATAAAATGAGTGACATAGTGTTCATTTGTTAAAATCGACTTTTTTATTTACTTTGAATTGATGAGTTTTCAAAGACCATTTCAAATGCTACTTCTTCATGAGGCTTTCTCATCTGCTCCTCACTGGAGTATGAACTTTCAGCATTTGGTATTTTTGTTAGTAATAACATTTTGTTACTAATAAAATTCTTATACTGAAGTTGTACATTTAATTTTTTTTAATCCCCTACTCGAGAGTTTAAGCTCCTAATGAGCAAGAACTATATTTTACTCAGCCTTTCTAGGGTCTCTAGCATAATGCTTAGTACATAGTATAAACTAACAAATAATAAAGTGTTTGCACAATATGAAGAATCTATATTAGAAAAGTGCTAACAAAGCACTCCAGAAAGGATAATGGGAAGGCAGGGAGAGAAATAGAGTGACTAGGAATGACCAAGGGAATATAAACAGCTTTGCTTAGATGCATCAGAGTGCATAAGCATGGGCATAACATACTGCCTGACAGTAAGAGTGATTTAAGATAACTGAGTATTAGATTTGTAGAAGGTCTCAAAGATTATGATCATGATCTTTCAAGTGACTTCCTAGAAGAACATAATTAAAACAGCACTGAAAACAAAAAGCTTCCCTACTATGAATTATGGCTTCACAGCCCCTTCCTTATAATTAGGAGAGTCATATAATTATTATCTAAACTGGGATACCTTTGAGAATGAAAGGGAATGCTATTAATAATAATGCTAGAACAGACATAAACTAGGACTTGTCCCATGCAAACTGCAATGCATGATAGCCTACTTACAGCCCACTTGTAGCCTACCTCTGGCCACCTTGACTCTTTCTCAAGATTCGGCAACAACCATTTCAAAAGGTATATTCACTTTCTTGCATACTTCTACCTACCCAAAGAAAACAGGAGGAATCATAGCTCTAGGCAGTTTGTAATACCTACCTGTCAAAATCATTATCCTAAGTTTACCAATTATTTGATGAACATATGCCATGCAGTAAAGAATGGTAGGCCTTACCAAAAACAAAACTTCAGCTCACTAATTACATATCAAACAAAAGAAAATCAAATCAAAAGAAGTGACAAATCAAACCATATTTATTTAAAATTTCTAGATGCAACTATTCTGGAACTAGGGCACTATTTTCAGCAGTAATTATATAAAATGAATCTTACCTTGGGAACTTTGGGAGGACTCTGTAGAAGAGGAACTATCTGTATAACTTTGTGGTTCTTCTTTTCCCTCCTGAATAGAAGAATTACTGGCCTCTGCCACCCTGGATGCTTGCTGTAATGTTTCTGTGACCAGCTGCCTTGTTTGTTCACTAACAACTGTGGCTTGAAATGTCACTGGTTTGGGTTTAATAAGAACCTAGGAGAAAAGCAGAAATATACCAAGTTCAAATTTTAGAGCACTATTTAAAATGTTAAACTTCTATGTCATGAACAATAATATTTCTTTGGGAGTACAAAACAGCATTCGGTACATTTACTATATTTTGGGCACAACATTGTTCATCAAAGACTAATTCAATCTATGAGCAAATTATAGTCAAGCTACATAAAACATTTTAAGTGGTACATGCCATATAACAGCCATGATTCTGACAAGAGCATCTGCCCCTCTTTTTCCTTGCCTATGATGTATTCAGGAGTCATTTTACAATCTAGGCTATATAGTAGAAATGAGTCACAAGAAAGATACAAAAAGCCTAGATTCCCAGTGGAATTTTTGTGTCACAATAACAGTTCCAGATTTCACCAGTCTGAACATTAATTAACATAGTAAAAATAAAACCTTAATTTGTTTAAGTCACTGTTCTTTGGTTTTTCTATCATTAGTAACCAAATGAAATTCCTGACACATGTATACAAAGTAAACTTGCTTGGGACCGAAATCATCTTTGAAAAAATCCCCAGAGGAACAATGATGTAGTCAACTATTAGAAGCAATATGGAATATGTGTTAGATCAACTCTTGGCAAAGGTGAAAACCACAGATACCAAAGCAAGTGAAATGAAGAAAGATTTTCAAAGTGAACCATTTCACTTCAAAATTTGGACTCTTGGAGTTGACTTCAATTGGGTACATGGAATAATGTTAACTCACCACATTTATCTTTTATTTCTCCCACATATAAGATTTTAAACCTTTTCAGACTCTATTAAGTAACCCATTTCTAAGAATTCAAGAATGAAAACATAATACAACTTAGATAATGAAACAAAATTGTTCCAGTTGAATTTTAAAGGCAATTTGGACTTACTTCTAATCATCAAACTTACTTGTTTAGATAGTAAACTATTTAGCTATAATTCTAAGGAATCATTCTAAACGCAAATTATTATTTTATAGGTAAATTACTACTTTTTACAAAAATTCTAGATTAGCATTTCTCAACCAAAGCTACCTTGCTTCCTTTGATATTCTCAGACATCATGTAAAATACACAGCAGCCCAGCAACATAAGATTAATTCCTGAGCCTCAATTTCCCAAGCAAATTTCCAGAAAAGCTCCCTTAGTAGTAGAAAAAATGAACAGATCACTAGCTTCTCTACTATTTAAGTTTCAAGTAAAGCAAATTTTTTAAGTAAATAAAGTGCTTTCAAAGGCCATATTAGCTTATAAAAAGTAAATAATTTTCTCTGAGAGTTGCTAAATAACTACCATTCTTCCTGAACAATATACTCCTCAAATAATAATACATAACTTCAACAAATTTTATTCCAAGGGGATTTTCTCCAATCTTTGCTCTTAATAAGACACAAATATTTAGATATTTTTTAAAAGTGTGAGGAGTGAAACAAAGGGTTTGAAAACAGATGGATAATTATACACATGTAGTCATAACTTTTAATAATTTTTAAAAAATATTACTGATCTTTTCAAATTTCTTTGGAATTTTAGGAATTTAAAATATACCTGAGCCATGAAAAATCACCATATCTTACAGCATACCTGTGTTTTCCCTTGCTGCCCATAAACAATTTTTGTTGGGATGATTTTAGCTGCTGGTTGAACTGTGGAACCTATTCCTTTTGGTTGCGTTACAATCATTTTGGTGATGGGTCTTGTAGCAGTGATAATAGCTGGCTTTGCTCCCGTTGGCACTGTCTGAATAGTCTTTTCTCCCTAAATTGAAGTCAGTAACATATGAGATTTATAAGCATTTAAATGATAAAAACTGTGCTTTTACTGAAAAATCACAGAAAAGATTTTATCAGGATAATGGGAAAAAGAACTATAAATTGTGCAATAAAGTACAATGTTTCAAGGTGATCAAAAATCCTAGACTTAGTTGAAATGATCTTAGAAGTCATCTGACTTTCTATCCAAAGAAGACATTAATTATTTCCTGATGAGTAAATTAAAAGAATTACTGAATAAGTATACCTACTATACTGCCTCATTCATAGACTACATATATTAGAAGTCAGAAAATTAAAGAAATACCAGAGGCCCAGTGCACAGGATTTGTGCACTGGTGGGGGGTGTGGCCTGCGGTGATTGGCCAGCTGTGGGAGCGCTGCTCATCCTGGTCAGCCAAGTGGCTATGGACTTGCCCTCTGAGCGGCTAGTCCTGCTGTGGTAAGCCGAGCAGCACTCCCACTGTGGCAGTGTACTGACCACCAGGGGGCAGTTCCTGTGTTGAGCATCAGGTTGCGATACCCTCAGTCACGCTCAGGGTAGGGCCGATTGGGGGGTTGGGGCACCGCCCCATCACACTCAAGGCAGGGTCGATGGGGAGGAGGCGGCGCCACCCTCTGTCACGCACAGAGCAGGGCCGATCAGAGGGTTGGGGCGCTGCCCCCTGTCACTCACAGAGCAGGGCCAATCAGGGGGTTGGGGCGCTGCCCCCTGTCACTCACAGAGCAGGGCTGATCAGGGGGTTGGGGTGC